CTTTGCTTAATCTGTTATGTGCGAAATTTGTTATTTGACAAGGATTCAATGTGTATACAGGGAGTAAGTTTCTAAACAATTTATGGTGCCGTGTCGGTGGGGAAGAATACAAGATGCTGTGGTTTGCAAGATATCAACTGAGTTAGTAATGTAAATTTGGCACCGTGGTAGAGAGCCCAATACCTTTGTCAGAGCGAATGACGAAGGGCTAACGCTCGACACGTCAGTTTTTCAATGGTGCCCCATTTACATGATCAGCTTAGTTGATAAAAAGGTGGTTTTCGTGTGCGTCTGTTGTCAATGCAATTGTTTGTTGCAGTTGTGGTTGTTTTTGGTTTTCAAACTGCAAAACTTTTTCTTTATCCTCGTATCACTCTACCAACAATTTCATATTTTTGTCTTCAAACGGATTTTCATTCAAAACTTTCATAAGTCATAGTATTGTTTAATAGAGAACACGGCAGAATCACTGATCAAAAGATGATAAGCGTATTGATAGTTCTCGTTAAAGCACCCATCGTTTAAAAAGTACTCTATAAAATGACCGCTTTTATCTGCGAAAAAAGCCTTCAACTTATTGTAAAGCGAAAGAGGTACTGGCTTGTTGACTTTCTTTTTCATGCAGTTTTCTCGCCAAATGATCCAAATATACTCAATTCTTCGGTACTCCGTTCTTTTATGTCTCCAATATCGTCTACGATATCATCAGCGGCTTCTCCTTCAAGTGCTCGCCCAGCAATGATATTTGCCTCATCATCAAGTTCACATTTCTCCAAGTTAAGGCCTCTTAGAAACCACCTTGGTTGTAGCATATCCCGAATCTTTTTCATAATTATCTTTTTGGTTCTGTACTTTGCTCGCTTCATTAAATCCTCGTGCGACTCCATGTCAAGTCGAGGTCCTCCCTTGCCTCCAAAGTTCTTCCATATCTCTTGACAAACCTCGTTCATTTGCACGTTCCCCACCCTTTGGTTGTGAAGTCATAAAATGGATTGAGTCTCAAGAGTAAGATTGTTGTCGAATGATGCGTGTAGTAGTTGTGAAACTCTGCCTTCCTCAGCCATTTCTCGTACCTTTCAAGTTCAGGCATAGGGTTGGGTAGCCATCTTTCGTTACCAACCTTCACGCTTGATTTCCACATTCGCGAAACAGCTTTGTAAACACTTGGCGCCTCCGCTGCTTTCGGTGGAAGTTCGAACCAAGAATATTTTGGAATATGTCTCTTCCAAATCACGTCTACGCGAATCAGACTATTCCAATGCTTGCAAACTAAAGCAGAATTGCATAAATCATGGATTGACAAGTTACAAAAGATCTCTATAAGGACAATATAGGGAAGATGTGAACTTTCTGAGCGGCAGCCATCTTAGACTAATTAATGTCGTGCCCAGTGTCTTCTCCTTTGTTTATTTTTAGCGAGGAATAGATATTGTCTTCCTTGCTTACTCACACAAAAAAATAAAATTAATCACGCAGGTCAATGTATAGAGGAGTTGGTTTTTCATCAGCAACACGGATAAAATTAGGCACGGCAAATAGGATGACAAACGTCCCTCTCCACCCTTATCCGGTATTCCTTTTTTTTTTTTTTTTTTTTTAATTTTTTTTACCTATCTAACCGTGGTGGATTGGAGCCGAATCACGCGATCGAAATATGACTCTGGATAGCCGAGGATGCTATAAACAGTATTTTTATCATCTAACTTCCCGGTAAATAATGTTCAGAGGAATTTTATGCGACGGTAATGATGGCAACATCAGAAGAAAACGTCCTCTAAAGACATCGGCAGTTTTAGTGTAAGACACTTTTTCTCCGGACGATTTTATCGATGCCACGACTAATTGGTAAACAAAGCTGAAGGGAGATTTACGCGAATCTAGGATGACAAAGGATGCTGCTTTCACCATTCTTCCTTCGTACAACAACATATCAACCACTAGAGTTCCGCCCGACCAGATCAAGACTGATATCTGCCAAAGGATTCTATATGAGAACGTCAACGGCAGGTATGCGAGGATCAATTCAGACTTCGTTACATTCATTTAACCGCGATCGTCCAGACGGTTGCGTTAGTTCGTTGTAAAAAGCGAAAATACTTTCACTTTCTTTTTCATCGATAAACATTGATGATCGAGAAAAAAAAAACTATATCAATTATATCTAAGTCATTAAGGAACAATAAGGTAAGAGGCTTCCTACAATGTGCAGCACACAGCAACCAAGCAACGGTGAACAAAGGACAGATTGGTGTCTGGTTTATTTAGACATTTAATTTGACTCCATGAAAGTAGATTCTTGTTTTAAAATTAGTTTTGCAAGGATCATAAGTAGAAGTTGAGCCCCGTTATCCAACAGGCTGTCTCCTCTTGCATAACCTTCAAGGAATCTTGTTAGATTCCAAGGCCAGGTTGTTCAAAGCTGGGTTAAGATAACCCAGGGTTAGTGTGAACACTGATTTCAGATCTTCAGTATAATTATTTTTGTCTACATTTTAATGATTGGATGTTCTGAAATGAATTGAGAAAATTATCAGCAAAAAGGCTTTTGACCAAAGGAATAATGAAACTTGGATTAAAATTTAACGTTGGGCTAGCACTGATTGGACTTTGAACCACTGGACCAAGTTCTCTAAAAAGGTATTTGTTCGGAAGGTGCAGTAATGTATTTCGATGCACAACATTGAACATTTTACTTATCATTCTTTCATTCTCTTTCCGTATAGTCACATCAGGATTCTTGATGTAATCCTCCTGATTCCAAACATTCTGTTTCTGATGTTCCTTATGTACAGACTTGGAGTAGCTCATGTACAGCTTAGCAAAATAAGATGTCCAATTGTGAAGACTGTTTATTTTATGGTAGGGATTGAGATGATTTTAAAAAGAAATGCAACCAAATTCAGAAATTCATGCAGGCCTTGCAAAGCCATGCCCTCAAGAAAGTTTCACCCATAAGTTTTCATTTTGAAATACCTGATGTAACAGGTAACAAAGGACTTCTTAATTGATTTTGTCTTTCGATAGGTATTCTTTGTCTGTATCATTGGAACAGCAAGATGCTTTGTCTCGATGCTTCTGACGTCAATCTTGAAATTACATCACAAGGATTCTCTGCCAACAAAGGTCCTTAAATTCTTTGACATCTGATAATTTTATTTTGGTTATAGGCTGTGTCAGGGTTTCTATTCAATGGTGTAATAGATGCAAAAAGGAAGGCACTGTAATGCAAACCTATGGAAGCTTGTCAGTTCTGCAACATAAGAGGGCAATAATTAAAGCTTGCAATATTGGCCATCACAATCATTGAATCTGATAATGTTTGTCACTTAAAACACAGCACTAAGAGGGTCTGCGGTCATGCTTAGACTTCCCACTTTTCTTTTTCCACTTTTAATTTTCAAATATCCACTTCTCACATCCTTCTATTTAACTCCCACTTCCCAATTCTCCCTTCCCACTTTTCACTTTCCACTTTTCACTTTCCTCTTTTCACCTCTCTCTACTTTTCACCTCTTCATATCCCTCTTTCCACTTCCCACTTTTTGGGTACTTTGTGTCATGAAATGAAACTTGTATTTTAATGCAAAATATATTTTTCATAGATTTTGTGGATTATACTGAGATGCTTTTTGTTAGCAGTTGAAGTGAGTGTCATAATATTTGCGGTCTGGGCAGGTATGGAAAAGAGTCAACTATTGAGAGATGTAAATATTGATTGACTTCATTTAAAGGTGAATTATCACAAACTATGTTTGCCTTTAGGGAACATGCAAGATGGACGCAAAGGTGTAAGGAGAGTTCTGGGTCTGTCACTATTTTGTGCAGTTGCATATTCATCAACTCAGGTTTGCTGCTTTTTGTGATGTTCACCACCTTAAATCTTAAACTTCTATGACTGACCAAGACAGAATTTCACCTAACATTATCATTACAATATCAAGCAGATAAGTGATGAGAATAAAGAAAAATATCAGTTAAGGGCTTATTAGCTGATCCAATACCAAATTCTCAGAACTAGCATTACATGAGTTCTACAGCAAACAGTAAAGAGAAGAACTAGTGAGATCTTGGGACTGACAGTATTAACTGCATTATCCTCATCCTTCTTCTTCCTCTTTTTCCTCTTCTTTCTTTTCTTCACTTTGTTGTATAGTGATAATTATTGATAATAATTATATAAATAGCTAGAGAAATAATATTTATAATGATAGCAATCATAATCATATTATTCTATTATTATTATTATTATTATTATTATTATTATTATTTTATCTCTCAGTTAGTGCGGATGCTATGATTGGTCATTTTAGCAGATCATATTTCCACAGAATGCTAAATTCAGTAGTTTGTTTGACATAAAATCCTCTCCCTTCCCCCCCTCCCCCCCTTCCCCCCTCCACACACACATTTGAACCCAGATATTTATTAAATACCTTACTACCTTTGTTTTCTCGGTCTGTACTGTAAGTTTTGGAACCCCGTTTTGTTTGCTCGGATTTATGGCTCACACACTTCGCACTGGACTAAATATCCGATTGGAAAAAACTCGGTCCATAACTTACTGTACGGATTTTTGACTCGGTTAGTAGGAGGTATACATACAGTGTACTATATGCCATAACCATTTGTTGGTTGTGGCTCTCTTAGCAAGACATAGATATACATAACAATGTAACAATCACTTTATGGTCATCATCATTACCTTCAACATCGTAAATATTAATTCTTCTATTTTCCTGGTACTCAGGCCACCCTTGAGTTTGTCAAATGCCCAGGAATAAATGGCCGAATTTTTGGAAGTGAAAAGTATGATTTCTATGGACATGGTGGATTGTTGTTTTTGTCGTCTACTTCTCTCTTTTTAGCTTTGGTAAGGGTGATCTTATTTATCCACAATTAGATCAACACAAAACGTTTTAAAAGAAGCCGCTATGAAATATAGATGACAAGTTCAAGTTTTAAGCTGATTTCCAATAATCAATCCCATATGTAAACCGCCGAGGCAAAGTTTGATTTTCTGTTTGTAATAAAGCATCATGTTCGGTCACATTAATTTGCTTTTATAAACCGAGTTGGTAATGCAAACTGGTCACAGTAAAGAGTTTCCAAAGCTGGCGCTTCGAGTCCTGTGTCATTCGCTCTGACGAAGCCCTTTTTTCATCTTTTATTTCTTCTCCTTTTAGGTATATCTTACTATACTCATTTTGCCGTGCACCAAGCTAAGAGAGTGGTTTGTTTTACCTGGTAAGATTGCTTTTAAGTTTCACGCTGCAAATGTACTTGTAGCCTCCCTTCTGGAGGACCACACCCACGTTAGTCTTTTCACAGGGCTCCATTCAAAGTTCCGACGTATTTCTATTCGATTTTCTAACAGGCTCTCTGAGACTAATACTCTCTGTTAAACAAGGAAGTACGATTAGGAACTTTTATTTGCGTTTCGCCGTTGAATTTAGAGCGCAATTAAGAGTTAGTGTCGTGAAATCAAACTTAAGGTAATCCGATTTTCCATTTTCCTGCGAGCATTCCCTTCGGTACGACCATTTCTCCGCTCGTGGGAAAGTATGAGGCTTTGAAGAACGCGAGAAACCGAGAGGAGGTCTAAAAGGGTCTGGCACTGATGAGCTAGCCGGCAAACTTCTCTCTGTTTCGTCTTAAATCTTCCCGCGGGCGGAGAAACACGCGTCCTGCAGCGGTAATAATGATAATAATCATAGTGAAAACAAACAAACTGCCTGAGGCACGGGAAAACAAAAGGGACCAATTTGCGGTTGGATTTCGTTTTGCTTCTGATTGGTTTAGAACGTCGTGCGAGTTTTCTGGACCAATCAATTAGGTCCATGCAGATAACGTCTACCCCTGGCTTACGTTTGGTGTTCTCCTCTATAGGGCGGAAATCTTTCTACTTGTATTGTGCTGTGATGTGTGTCGTGAACCTAATGCAAGGTTCTGCAAGTCTACTGATGTACGAAGGTTTTGTGCAAAGTTTATGGTAGGTACCGGATCTCTTATATATTACGTTGTTCTCGTAGTTTAGGGTATATAGCCAGCTTTCAAGGAAAAACACTCGAATTGTCAACTTCACAACTTTAAAGGATGGGTGGTTCGTTTAAACCGTCAGCCCAGTTGTCAAACGGCCTTTATAATAATTCTTCTTTCAATAAAGTTGCCTGTACCTGATAACAGTTTTTCTACGTTGCACTTGTATATCGTTCTGGTCCCCTTTTCTTAGCAAGTCTGTTTCAAAATCCCTTCCCTAAGCTAGCCTGGACAAAAAACATTTTTCTAGATCGTGGCATATTAACCTCATAAACTGTATCCAAAGACAAATGAATAAAGGGGGTAAGTTTCTAAAGAAATTGTGGAGCTGCGTTGGTGTGAGAGTACAGTAGGTAATTTAGTGTTAGCAACTGAGTTGAAAACGTAAATTAGCCGCCGTAAAGGGTAAAATAGCTGACGTTTCGAGCGTTAGCCCTTCGTCAGAGCGATTGACGAAGAGCTAACGCTCGAAACGTCAGCTTTTTTACCCTTGACGGTGGCTAATTTACGTTTTCAACTCAGTTGCTAACACTAAATTACTTGTATCCAAAGACAGAACATTTGCATGAATCCACTCGCGTCATTCCAAATACCGCAATCTGATTGGCTACGCTTGAAGATATGCCTGAAGTGAAACGACATGTTGAGTATTTAAGAATAAGAGATACTGTAATCAATTCATAATAGAATTGTTTACTCTGTTTTGTTTTGTTTATTTATTTTGTTTTTTGTCAGCGTTTTAGACTTCACTTTGATTATGTATTATGCCGTGTTTGGTCCCATTGTGTACTTTGCATTTCTGAAAGATTTCTTTCGAAGGTGAGCCACTTTTTTTTCTTCCCACTTTTTCATCTTTCTTTTTCAGTTTACATTCATTTTTGAATGGCTTAGTAAATAGAGCGCTCATAGAATGAGTGACGGGGAGTAAAAACCAGAGTTACCATAATGGCCAATCAGAGCGAAGCAAAACATTACAGGGAACCAATTAGAATGAAAAGCGGGAAAAGACAAGCTGCGTCAAGCGCGGGAAAACGCTCGTCATCAAGCGCGGGAAAATGCTCGTCATCAAGCGTGGGAAACGCTTGTGATCCATCAAAATGAAATTGGTTTTACTGTTAACCTTGATTGGTTGAAAAAGTGGCGTGAGTTTTCTTGGTTTATTACACCCATTTTGAAATCACTGGTGGTCCCTGTAATCTGATTGGCTCTAATTGGTGCGATTTATTCACGAATCGCACCATTTTTAAAAGTAACCAATCAAGTTGCAAGAAAATGAAAGACAAAGAGTATCGTATGGCAAATTTTGCTACTTTTGTTTCCAAAACTCTCACTTTTTCCCCTCCAAAAATGGATGAATTTAATTTCAAACCAGCTCAGTACTGCATCAATAAAATATTTGAAGTGACCAAGTCCTGTATTTGGGCGATTTCAAAATGGATGTCATAAAGTGGTAATTGAACCTCGTGTCGTGCAATTTTGGTCTGAAATCATACTTGTGATTTCAAATCGAACTCGCGCTGTGCGCTTGATCGATTTTGAAATCACGCGTATGATTTCAGCCCAAATTACACTCCACTCAGTTCAATTACCATTACTAATCAACGAGCAAAGAGAAGTAAAACTAACGCAATCTAGGATCACTTTTGACATTCAATCGCTGTTTTTCGGGGCAAAGCGAGTTATCAAAACTAAAAGAGAAGACGAGAGGTATTTAGTGCTTTTTATGGGTATTTTAATCTTTGAAGATAGTTGGATTTCTTTTGTTCCGTCTACTGTGGTTATATTTTTGTTCATTGGCCCGCTGTTACAATGGCTGTGCCATTTGAAAAGTTTCCTAATATGCACTAACGATTGTTCGTTACCACTAAGTGATGATCAAGGGGTGGGGCCTGGGGCCTGAGGTTCAGACTTACAGACCCTAGACCGGACCTCCGCACCTCCCCCTCCCTATCAAAAAATTCCTATTTCCGCCCCTAGCTCGTTTGTTCGTGTTTGTCAATTGGTCATGGACAGTCTTGCAAATAAGTTAGACTTTCTTTTATAATCCGCAAGTAACCAACTTGGTTCGTCGTATTTTGTTCTTTCAGTGCGTATACGCATGTATTGACAGTGGATAATGAGTACGCCAGCTACTCATACTCCTATCTGCCAACAGAAGATGTCGGAGACGGTTACGTTTCTTCTGACTTTGATTAAATAGTGACGCATGTGAGACGGAGACAACACAGCGGTCGGACGTCGTGCATGCGCGAGAGATCAATTCTGACCGGCCGTGAGCAACACAGCGGTCAAACGTTTTGCTTTTGCTAGGAATCAATTCTGTAGGTCAAACGTAGTGCATGCGCCAAAGGAGGAATCAATTCCGGCTGGCTATGCGCCATTTTCCCGCGCTAAATTTTAGAGGAAAACATGGGAAACAACTACTGTCTTACAAAATAAGCGAAACAAAATTAAAATGTTCATAAAAGAAAAAAAATTATGGGAAAGGAAAACTCGAGAATTTTCGAAGACAAATCTTATTTTCGCACGGGTTTTACCAGAAACTTAGATGCTTTTTATCATACCGTGACTTATTGGCTTGTGTGGTTTTTTGTAATTCTTTTGAGACAGCCTGAAAACGCCACCAATTATGCAACCTAGTTTTTAGAGCGTTCGCGCATATGCAGACGTTTCACCGCTGCGCTGACGGAGACTCTTACTTACAGTGTGTGGCAAAAGTCCTGACACGCTGTTCCATTTTTTTAATTTTTCTCTACAACTTTCATTGACCTCCCCCACTCTCCCATTTAAATGTTCCCTGACGAGTTGGGAAGAGGTTTGCTGGGGGCCTGGCTGGCTTATCAGTGCCAGGCCCCTCGCAGACCTCCTGCTGGCTTTCGTTTTAGGATAATGATTTTGACATAGAATTTCTTATTAACTTTAAGATATTATGAGTACGTTAGGATGTTGTATAGATATTTAATTCAGATTTTTAATTTTTTTTAACTTTATCGTAATCAGATTAGATTTTTTCTTATTGCACAGTTCATTGTACAGATAATAGCTGTATACAACGGCTCCTACATTGGTAAGTCTCAAAAATGTCGGGTAGTTTGTCTCACAATGTCACGCAATCTTAAGAAGGTTGATCACGGTAAAACGCTTGTCGCACTCAGTCACGCAATCTTAGGGAAAATCACCACACCAGCTTACCTAATGCAAGAGGAGACTGTCACATTAGGTCACATTGAAGGGAAGATTTGCATTGGATCCCTAGTTACAATAGAAGTTTTAATTTCAACGAGATACTATCGTGGCGTTGATGAAAATATGTTGTGGCAGATTAACACAAATGGGCAAAACTGAGGCGTACACGGTTTCATTTTATTCTAAAAACAGTCAAATAATAAGTGGTTACGCTAAACAATGGACTTTAAGAGAAACCTTTTAACACTTATGCTTGCAATTTTGCAGACCTGAGAGGAACTTCCACACTACAAATTCTTACATCTGAGTCAGTAGCAATAAATTAATTCATTAGAAGTATAACAAAATTCTTGAACGCGATTGGTTATCACCAGCCAGATTTGAGCACTAATAGGACAGTGTACGCATCATGCCTGTAATTGGACAGTGCAATAGGATAGTTTAAGGAACAGTTAACATATTATGCCTGTGTAAGTGATAAGTGGACAGAACTCGTCATGTGCGCGCGCTGCTGTCTTGCATTTCTTCGAGTTAATTGTTGTTTTTTTTTAATGAGAACGCATGACCGATGTCTAGCTTCTTTCTCAAATTATGTCATAGTTTTAATTAATCGGTAACAGGACTTCCTATCCTCCAATTCTGTCCGTGATTGACAAATCGGACTCCCGCTTCGTGATCGTCCAATTTCGTTTATCACTCGTATGATTACAGACCGAATTGGACTTTCTCTCGGTCATGTTACCGTTACTAATTATTTATTCAATAAAAATACAGAATAAGGGCCGTTCATTATTCGCCGCGGGGGGGGGGCAGTCAATTTTCTGTAGCCTCCCCGCCTCTCTTTATACTCTGTTGGCAACAAACGTTCCTCCCTCCTCTCGTAGAACTTTTATTCTCAACTTTTGTCACAGTTTGATAAAATATCTTAAAATTTAGAAGATGTGAATTTTCTGTAAATAAAACTATCACAGTTGATATTAAAGAGTTGTTATCTTATTTCGGGATTTCCGTCTATTTTCGGATAGCCACACCCAATACCGGACAGTAGATTCCGTCGGATTTCTAACGGATCTGTCATATTTACAGATCACTGGTATCCATTGATAATCTTGGTTGGAGAGAGCCATTGTTTTGAGGTGTTTTTTCCTATGGCACATCGCGATTCCCGTCGAGTCAGGGCTGGAATTTCCTCCATCATTTCAGCGGGATTCCACCCTCTTCCCCGACTCCAAGTTTTGCCGATATTCCTGTCATACGGGGAAAGAGGAGGTCATGATTTTCCGGCCCAGGTTATTTTTAACGCTCAGTTAAAAAAAAAGACTTCGTTTTAGTCTTTTCAGCTCTTTTCCATTTCCGCAACTTCATCAATGGACAAAATAAAGCTGCCTCCAAAGGGCAAAGGGCCCTGGGACGAAACAGGCTAACTAGCCCCAGAAGGCTTTTCGGTGAAATAGAACCCAGTCTCCATCTAACATTGTTTCCGGAGGAGTGGTTGGATACTTGGTGTCTTGACAAACATCGATCGCATCAGTAGTTGTGATCGACTTGAACTGATTTTATTTATTGGAGATTATTACGCTCTGTAACTTTCATTTTCCAAGCGTTTTAAAGCAAGCAATTTTAGAAACCTCAGCCACGAGCTTTTAACTTGTTGGCTTCGTTTGTTTTTGTCCTCCGTCACAACAACTTGAAATGGCAGCAGAGTGTGTTACTCGAGTCGAGTTGCACATCTCTTGTAGAGGTTTGCTCGACAGGGACACAACTTCAAAATCCGATCCACTGTGTGCTTTGTATATTCAAGATTCACTTGGAAAGTGGGTTGAGGTGAGTTTTTCCCACTTGTTAAATTGAGGATTCGAAGACTCGATCGCTAGATGAGACATGCATCCTTCAGCTGTTAATAACGGTAAACTAAGATGGTTTGCAATTGTTTACTTTTATCATAACCCCAATTTCTTTCCAGATCTTTAAAGTCGTTTTAAAGCTAGAAAAGTTTAAACCACGGCAGCTATCATAAGCAATAATGCAACGGAGTGGTTTTTACTTTCCTGTTGGTTCTCAAGAATTGGTTGGAAAAATGTATTATTTTCAGGAATTTTTAATTTATTTTAACAAAAGTTATGGTTTTATGTTGTTCATTTTGATATGTGCATATTCAGATGGTCAATTGCCTAATTTATCCTTACAAGTACGTATTACCTTTGCCTTTTATGAATATACCAGTCTAAAACTGAGAATCAAAAACAAAAACAAAATAACTATCAAGGAAAATTATTTAAAATTTTTATTTCTTTTCTATGACAGGTTAGACCTTAAATGCAAATGTCACACTTCTGTGGCTTAGCAACAAGTTATGTCCAATGTCTTTTTAAAATGAAAATTTTCTGTGATCTCCTTCCTGGGGTTCTAGTAGGTTGGATCAGGAACAAGGAAAACTATGACTGAAAACTGAAATATTTATGTAAGAATTGCAGCTATTTCTGGCCAATTTTTAAACTGAAAAAAATGCCAAATTTGGTAACATAATCAACATTTTTTACAAAGAATTCACCCTTCTCAGCTTTCTTTTGTAGCACCTTTTAAAAAGTAGTGGTTGTCAATGATTTTTATATTTTTGAATTTCTAAGGTGATCTAATTCCAAAACAGTTTGAACCCCTTAACTCCTGGAAGTGATTGACATAAAACTTCTCTTTATAATATCCTCATATTATTCAGCAAACAGGTTATGAGAATTATCAAACTTATCAGGTGGAAGTGGTTATCTTGATCTTGCACCAAATTCATATAACTAATTTACAAAGAAATGTGTGATAGCCAGAAGGGAGAATTAACACTAAGATCTTAGGAGTGGGAGGATTTAATTAATTTTAACTTATCATGGTCTTGACACAAGTATATTGGATAGTGTGGCATGAGAATATGAATGGGCAAATCAAACCATAACTTGCAAGTTTTATGCATTGGTAACTGGCATTTCCCAAATAACCAGGTGACTACCAGAGTTCTGCCAACTACATGATAACATATCACTGGTTATTGTGGTCAAAATTATTACCTATTGGCCCTTAATAAAATTTTCACAGTCACCTACTTTTGCAGAGTCTGATGCCTACTTCAAAACATTTTGAAACCCTATGTAAGCTATCATTTCAATGCATTTATGTCTTTTGAATGCTGCACATTTTTATTTGTCTCCTTTTTATCTTTCCACTTTAGTATGCTAGGACTGAAAAAATCCAGAATAACCTTAATCCAGATTTTGCTAAAGGAATTGTGGTGGACTACTACTTTGAGATGGTTCAGAAACTGAAATTTTCAGTTTACGATGTGGATAACGAGACCAGTTCACTGGGAGATGACGATGCTCTGGGTGATATGGAGTGTAATCTTGGGCAGGTAAATCTTCTTTGTTGTTATGTTGCTCAAAGGCTTTTAAATGTCATGAAGAATTTCAGATAATCAGGACTGTTACTGTATCATGACTAAATCAGATTTTTCTCACTAAATAAATAAAGAGTGGAAATTTAGTTAACATTCCCCAAAGTTTTACATGATTAGAGAGAAATAGAGAGGATTTCTATTTGCCAGATGCTTCTCAAATTTTACAACTTTATTGTTGTTAACCACATACAAAATAATTATACGAAAACTTCAGTTATTAGTGTTAAGGATGGGTGTATAGCATTAGTGATAGTGGTTTAATTCATTGCTAAGTTCCAGTCTTGTCTCTGATTGCCAGTGACAGATACTGGTGCCTTCAAATTTTCTGGCGGATGCACTGCATTGGTAAAATCTGTAATGGAAGAGAATCTGAAAATTTTGTGGAACCAACCTTAGACAGAGTGACATTATTTTATACTTGACACATTAGTCAGCTTCCACTATCATGATAACCCTTTAACTCCCACGATCTGATTGTTAATTCTCCCTTCTAGCTGATACACATTTCCTTGTAAATTAGTTATGAGAACTTGGTGCTAGATCAAGATAGCAGCCTCTACCTGATCAGTTTGAATATTATCATAACCTGTGTACTGAATAATCTATGGGACATCAAAGGAAGAACTTTAATGTTATTAACCTCTGGGAGTTAAAGGGTTTATTTATTTATGTGTTTGTGTAATATTCTAGGTGGTTTCAAAGAAGTCCTTTGCAAGCACACTACAAATCAATGGAAGGCAAGTGGGAACCATTAATGTAAGTACACTGTTATGATCATTGTACAGCGTATACCAGTTAGGCATATTCAGAATATATAGTGATTAAGAATTTTTTGTCTTCTTAGATGAACCCCTTCTGTGTTATGTCTTCAAGGAGCCCACTATTAGCCTGCAGAGCAGGTGTAATTTTGGCTTGCAAGTGCTCAGTATGCTGCCATCTTTAATTTTAGTGGCAGTGGAAGTCTGGGGAGAGAAAGAAATTTGTATTAAGGGGGTGATCAATGGTTAAAAATAAGGAGAGGGGTGGGGTGGAGGAGTGAATATTAGCATGTGTTATTCCAAGGATACTAATTACCTGTAGGTCTCTGAGGGCTTAATATGTACAGTACATCTTCTACAATGTCAAAGAACCTACCTAGTCAGAGAAAAACTCTCCGTTAATATGAATGCATACAATGTTATGTTAAGATCAGATTTTCATTGATATTAACTTTTTGCAGGTATATGCAGAAGAATTAAAAGGTGGAAATGAAATAGTTAACCTTACTTTCAGGGCAACAAACCTAGACAACAAGGTACCATGTTATGCTTTCATGATACATACATGCACAGAACTAAACAGTTATTTAGAGTAATTCTTTGGTGATGCATGTACATTGTATCATTTTGGTTCGTCATAATGGGTTTCTTTTTAGATAGATTAAGAGAGATGGTAAGGTTTCTTTTTCTTTCATTTCTTTTTTTTTTTTTTTTTTTTTACTTTTCAAACCAGTTTAATTTTCAATTGTTATTTTGATTCCTTTGTCATGTATTAATAAATTATCAAAATCATAAATGAAGCAATTTCAAAATCTACTGCTTTGGATAAAAAAAAAAAAAGAGGAAGCAAAAATCTTTTGGAAATACATCGTAGATGGTAGAGAACAGTTAGAAGATTAAGTCTGTACTGGAGCCTATTGGCTTATCCAGCGGAAGCTTATCCCAGTTTCCATGTTAAGTGAAGAGACAAGGAGTAATACTACCCTGCCTTGGATGAAATGCTAGTCCATCCCAAGGCTACCCCTCAGAAGTTCATCAGGCTTCCCTGACATTTTGCAGGAAAAAAAAAAATTCTGAGTAATCATTAATGAACTGAACTACAAACCTGTGGATTTTTTCTCTTGGCTGCTCTACCACTAAGCTACTGAGAACACTATAAGAAGCAAGACCCCTATTTACCTTATATGTGACACTTGTTTTAAATATTGGAAGGATCTGCAGTGTCAAAACTGGTTGTTTGTGTCACTAAAAATGATACAAGAGATAGTAAATTTAGAGCTCGCAATTTACTTTCTTTCTGGATCTATAAATACTGTGGTAATTATCAGTTTAAATGACTGTCAGTTTAAATGACTGTAAATTAAAATTGTATTATTCTGATAGGACTTTCTGGGCAAATCTGATCCCTTTTTACAATTGTCCAAACTGAAAAGTGATGGTGGAACTTTGCTTGTTCATCGCACTGAGGTGAGAATGTTTACAATTGAAACATTATTAGTCAAGAAAAATAACTTTGCTTGTTAAAGTATACAGGAACAGTCATGTGACTGATGGCTGTTGAGCAATCTATTTACAGATACTTTTATTAATTCAAATAACTATTTATTAATTGTGCATGTATGTGTTGATGCAAAAGTACACCTTTTGCTTTCTCTTTTGTAACAATTGATTTTTACATGTAATTATTATTATTATTGAAAAAATTTAAAGACGCTTGTCTTACTTTCAAGGTCTTAAGGTCATAATGATTGGCCGGATACTGTACTGTACGTTCACTTTGGAATATTCACTTGAATTTGAAGTTTACTTATTTGATCATATTTAGATTGTTCATTTGTTTAATTGTTGGTTTACTTTTTAACATTCAGTTGAAATGGTTGTGTATTTGGTTGTTGTATTATGGAGCTATGCTTGATATCAAATGAATTTCTGTAAACAATGTGGTACCTGTATCCTGTAAATACGTCAGTTAACCCTTTAACTCCCAAGATCTGATTGTTAATTCTCCCCTCTAGCTGCTACTCATTTCCTTGTAAATTAGTTATGAGAACTTGGTGCTAGATCAAGATAGCAGCTTCTTTCTAATAAGTTTGAATATTGTCATTACCTGTTTGCTGAAAAATGTATGGATATTATAGGGAGAAGTATCATGTTGATCACTTTTGGGAGTTTAAGGATTAAAAAATTTTCATGTTACTGTGCATCTGCTTGTTATAGATTGACATCAAAATGTGGTAAGAACAGGAAAGTGGCACACTTCAAGTATGGCTATGTGTGTCACTGATGTTCTCACCAAATTTTGATGTAATGTCCTTCTTCAATCTATTTTAACAAGAGTATAGACTCGTTGAATCTGGTTTTATATGATAACAAGGCAAAATTGTGTATATGAGGATGTCAACATCTGCCCTCTTTTTTATTATACAGCAAGTAAGAACCAATTTCCTTTTTTTTTCTTTTTTGTGGTAATACTACAGGTTGTCAAGAACAACCTCAATCCATCATGGATGTCTTTTAGCATTGCGCTGGCAACTCTGTGTGGTGGAGACTATGATGCACCAATTAGGGTAAGTTCAATAATAATGATAATAATAATAATAATAATAAATAGTAATTATTATCAGTTTAATTTAAAAGTTGACAAAATCTGTGTCACTTAAGCACTACATGTAATTGGGAGATTTAAGGCTCCAAGAGAATTAAATTAAACTGAGGATGTGTCAAATTTTGAGTGAAAAGCAAACCTTTTTTGTTGTGACAAAGGACTAACACTTGAATTATTACATTTTATCAACTCAGTTGATAAAACCTCATTTTCTTGTTACTCCTCGCTTACATGTGTACACAGCACCATAATTTATTTATAATAGAAAACTTACCCCTTCCACTCAAATTGTATTATTGGCAAATAATTTGGTTTTATCAATTGAGTTTATGAAATAAATATAAATTTACCACCTCAAAGAGTTTTTTTTATTATTAAGCAATTCAGTACGATACTTTTAATCCTATTGAGGTTTTCACTGAAAGATGATTTGAACATGTGTAAGCAGACAAGGTAGCCAAACTTGTAAAACTGACCTTTGAAGAATCCAATTGCATGACAGACACTTCAATCAAATTTAACAAAGTCTAATTTATAATGTTGCCAGATTGGCTGTTACGACTGGGATGAGGATGACGATAATGATTTGATTGGTTGTGTGGACATCACTCTTCGATCTCTGATTGACAGTAAAGAGTCAGGGGTATGTACATATTCTATACTGATTTTTTTATTATTGTTTTGTTTACATTTGGTTGCAACAGATTGATTGCTATGACTACGATGATGATGGAAGCCACGATTTTATTGGCTCAACCAATGCCTCTATGCGGCAATTGATAGAGACAAAACAATCTGGGGTAAGGTGAATGTGCTTGGTTACATGTACAGGTGCAATATAAAGCAGAAATTATGAAATATGCAGCACAGATTTTGATTGGTTCTGACTTATGATCTACTGGAGGACAGGTGCATTCTAGATAATGTCACCATGAGCAACATTCTACCTCCTCATTTTATAAAATAAAATAGATTCTATGTTACCATCCATAGGTCTGTACAGTAATAGATCACAGAAGATATAAAAATGTTGTAAGAAATTCATGACACAGTCATCTGAGTTTTTGCTTGCCACCTTTTTGTTCTTAGTTACTTACTGGCATCATCTACGATCTGTTACTGGACATACTTGTGGCAGCATTAGAAGTTACAGAGTATTATCATGTGTAAACTGTAGCAGGTCTTCTTTGTTCTAGAAGATTGATGTATTAACAGTTTACTGTTAAGTAGTTTTTTCTTCAATCCTTCCATGCACCTTAATTTACAGTTCAGAGGTTATTCAGGGACCAAAAGAGATGCCCAAAAATGCATTTTAAAGATCAGGACAAAATCTTTTTAAACTGGCGACATGTTTCTTGGTCCCAAAAGAAGTCTTTTTGAGTTGAAGTTGCCTCTGCTAAATTACATTTTTAAAATTTGTATTTCAGAAAGGACTTGACTTGGTCAATTCCAAGAAAAAGCAGAAGAAAAAAGGCTATGTGAACTCAGGAGTTCTGTATGTGTCTCAATGCAATGTATGTAGTCTACGCATTTTACCTTCCCATTTGTAAGCGACTCCAAAGACATTTAGCAATTTGTTTTTTGCAAGTGCTGAATACCAGCTACCATTCACACCTTTACTTATTTTAATTTGTTTGTCTTTTTATCAGATAACCAAGCTTTACACATTCCTAGACTATGTCATGGGAGGATGCCAAATTAACTTTACAGTAAGTGACACATAAACTTTGCATGTACCGTAATTTCCGGTCGATTACCCGCACGGCCGATTACCCGCACCGGCCGATTATTGCATACGGCGAAAAAAAAAGTCAACGGATTACCCGCACCGGTGGATAACCCGCACGTTGTTATTCAACTTTTTCGGTGGCGAAAACGTGACATTAAGGCGATACATTTCAGTCTTTCGATTCAGACATGTGCACAATTCTGTGTCAATATTAGCTTATACTTTATTGATTGATTATTGCTGCTGCTCTATTACCGATTTCATCGGCAAGAGTTATTACTCTAAGCTTATAATCAAACGTAAAACTGTGACGTGGGCGTTTCACAGCAGGCATTTTAACTTAATTGGTGACTCGTGGATACACTTATCGCGAATGATCGAGGTTTATAATTCTTATTCAGTCAGTTACCTTTTTATAGCATGTAGGAGCGTAATGAGCAATATCCATTGTTCATTTGTCGTTAAAATACTTTTTCAGCGCGAAATTAGTTAAGTTTCGCACCTATTATTTTCAACATTCTGGTGATGCATTTGGGATTTAAAATTACTGTCGGCAATTTCTCAAAAAAATCGATATCTCCTGTTCTACTGGGCCTAACAAGTCCCTTAAAACGGGAAAATTCTCTTTAGCTCAAGCTAGTGAAAACTGGAAATTTGTTACTGATGCGCCGGATATCCTTGGATTATTTTTGTCACCATCAAGGTTTTGTTTTCACGCGTGCTGATAAAAATTTGTTTGTCACGCAACTAATTATGCGTGAAATAAACTCGAGTTGGCATCATGTTTTCGTGCCGCTTTGTGGCACTTTTGATACAATAAAATTCATTTGAGAGGTGGAAACGCAGGTAGGTGAGAAATTTTTTCAATTCAACTTCCAGAAGAATTTAAAATTGTCACATAACCCGCACCTCCCTATTACCCGCAGTGGCGCGGATTTAATGCAAAATCAACAGATTACCCGCGGGTAATCGACCGGAAATTACGGTATATGTATATTAGGGTTTGTAGAGTGGAAGGAATCCAGGAAAGTGGCAGGTAGAGAATGAGATAATCCTACCTTGTATCAAATTTCCCTCATTTGGACCATTTTTGTTTGTAAGGGTTGGGAGAGTGGGGTAATTGGAAGGGAGGGGAGGGGTAGCTAGACAATCAGATAGCCCACCTTGTATCAAATTTCCCACATTTGTACCAATTTACTCTGCATGTACATAAGGGTTGGGAGAGTGGGGGAATGGGGGGTGGGGCTACTAGACAATCAGATATTCCCACCTTGTATAAAATTTCCCACTTTTGTACCAATTTGTAAATAAGGGTCGGGAGAGTGGGGGAATGGGTAGGGGGCTACTAGGCAATCAGATATTCCTACCTTGTATCAAATTTCCCATATTTGTGCCATTTTACTCTTCATGTACATAAGGGCTGGGAGGGTGGGGGAACAGGGGGTAGGGGTGGATAGACAATGATATATCCCTAACTATTAACAACATTTGTACCATTTTAGACGGACCTTAAAACCTATTTGAAAAAATTCATTTATGAGTTTTGAAGAATTAAGTTACATCTGTAAGATGGCTCTTAACCCAGTGTTTCCAGATCGGTTGTAGATTTCTTTTGTCTAGGGGTAAACTGAATGACAAGAAATAAACTTTGGGAGCAAGAATGAGAAACAGCATCCAGTGCAACCCACATTTGACAACCGGCCTGGAAATTGACTTTAGGTCTCAGGGTTGGGTGAAAATTAACAAACAGACAGTGGTCTAGTTTAATCTGTACTATTATCGACAATGGTATTCATCATCATAGTGGTCAAAATGTGTTGGACTCATGAGGTGTAGCCAAGTGAGTCCATATTACATTTTGGGTCACACGTTTGACACAAGCAGCACAGTCTGTGCTCTAATTAACAGTAGGAAATTGGCCAATCAGATTGTGACATTACTGCCAATCATGGTGAAAAAACTCTTTCCAGTGAGCCAAGCAGTTTTCTCTACTTTTTCCAATGTTTAAAAGGTAGTGTACACTGGGACATGTACTGAGACTTTTCTATTGGCCAAATTTTTTCTTACCCTACCTAGGTTGGTATTGACTTCACAGCATCCAATGGTGATCCACGCAATGCCCAGTCTCTTCATTATTTGCATTCTCATGAACCCAATGAGTATGTCAAGGCTCTAGTAGCTGTTGGTGAAGTTTGTCAAGACTATGATACGTAAGAATAACTTTTTATTTCCCTTTCCCCCATCCCACTATTCCTGTGTTCCACCATTTCTGTGGATCTTTATTTTCCTTTCCCTTGGTTCCTCAGTACGATTTCCCCGTTCCTCTGTTCCTCCATTCCGCTGTTCCTCTGTTCCAATTTTTTCCTTTATGCTCAACATTGTACTTTCTCTCTCGTGAAACGTTTTTTCATTGACACTATTTTCCTTATTCCAGTGATAAATTTTTCCCAGCGTTAGGATTTGGGGCCAAAATACCACCAGGCATGCAGGTCTGTTAGCAACATATCTTCTTTGTTTCCTTTTTCCATTTATCATTTTTTTTCCTCTTGAATTTTAATGCCTCAGTGGGAGGTGAGTATCAAAGGGAAAACTGAATTGTGAGTAAGTTTATTGTGTGCATTTGTATATTTTTTTATAATACAAATTACGTAAATAAGTTGTTTTGTTAATTTTCCTTTCCTTTGCTCTAAAGGTTTTTAATTTGTTTTTGGTTTCTAGGTTTCCCACGAGTTTCCTTTGAACTTCAACCCGACTAATCCATATTGTCATGGTAAGAAACGCTAACCGAAATTTCTTCTGTTCCCTTCCTTACACAATCATAACTCGGTACCAAATGGAGGCTACTGTGTTTATTGTATTTTAAAAATTTTTGTAACGCGCGGGACGAAATGTTTACAAAAAGCTTACCTTTTACTGCGAGAGTAAGAGTACTTCTCGTTGTTCTCTGGTAGGACGCGATGATTAAACAAATGTATCCGTTTATCAGTAACAACAACAAAACGCTCTCTTATCTTGAATTAAACTATAAACGAAGAATTGTAATCGTTCTGGAAAGGTTTGAAAATCGGGGAGTAGCACTTGAAGTATATCATCGGATATTTCCAAGATTCAGCTGAGGCATGTTCGGTCGGTCATGCGCTGCGCTTACATTAATCGCGCGTTAGCTCAAAATTTTGATGGACTATAATCCATGGATGAAAAAAAAATTGGTGCAAGAATATCTTGTACTATACCGTAGATAATACAGAGGCCCACACACGGTTGTCTAAAACCGGCTGCTTCTTCTTTACAATCTTGACAACGCTCTCAAAATTCTTAGAGCGTTTACACGGTAAAACTCAAGACGCAGATTACAAAGGATGCATTTTAGATAGATAATTCGATTAAATTTTTTATTAAAAGAATTCGGACATGTCGCCGCTTATCAAAATTCGGCGGAAATAAAATCTTACTTTCATTTTTAAATGCGAATGTATGCCATTTCGCATGTACTTAACGGAAAATACGATGATCGAGATGCTTCAGATTAAATATGTTGAAGTTTATTTATGCCTTTTTTTTCCGTTTCGCAGGCATCCAAGAAATTGTTCTTGCATATCAGAATTGCATTCGCCAAGTGCAGCTGTATGGCCCAACCAATGTGGCGCCGATCATCAATCACGTGATTAGATTTGCTGAGCGAGCAGGCCAGGAAAACACAGCATCGGTAAGGAATCGATATCACATCGGCCATGATCGATATTTTGTCGGTGCTCAACAATATACCGATGGCTGTTGAATTCCAAATTCAGCCATGGGTTTTTGTGCGTTTCTTTCTTTTGTTTGATGTTAATCTAACCAGTAGTATAACAGATCAAAAAAATGATCACCGACCCAAGAATCCTTAGTTATTAAACAAATTCTCCTTGTAATTATCAAAGGAAATTACACAGAAGAGTAAGGAGAATTTGGTTACCAATGTTAAGGTGTCAAGGGTTAAAATCGCTTCCACACAGTTTCAAATTCTCAGTGTTAAAGACAAGAGACTTCTACGGCAGTAGGTATTAAGAATTGCTATTTCGATCCCACCAGCAATACTACGTGCTTTTACTGTTGACGGATGGCGTGTTATCAGACATGGCGGAAACAAAGGCCGCCATAGTAAAGGCTTCTCGCCTTCCCATGTCCGTCATTATTGTAGGAGTTGGACAGGCTGACTTCAAAGACATGGATGAACTTGACGCTGATGAAGGACGGTAAGGCTAAAAATTGAGTGTTCATTAAAGCAATCCTGGTTCGTAGTGATTTTGCTTAATATTTTGGTTACTATTAATAAAATCTTCTCCCCTTCATGAAATAGGTTACGATCTGGGCATAATTATGCGGAAAGGGATATCGTCCAGTTTGTACCATTCAGGGACTTCAAATCCGTAAGTAGACTGCATTGTTTTGGAATCTGCCTGTGCTAATTAACTATCATTGCTTGAGTAGGATTCAGGTATCTGACAAAGTAGCTTGTTCCAGCATGAAGGATTATATCGAGTTTCCCTGACAGTGTTCGTAGACTCTGAAGATGATCTCCGCTCAGGTTGTCGAAATGTCAATTACCACTACCGACAACAGTCCTCCTCAGGACTACACTCACCCGGAGGATCAAACTACACTATTACTAGTGTTCGTTCCATTTTGAAGTCTCGGGTTCAGAGAAGCACTTTGATGGTTGAGTTTCATATCCAAGAACACAAAACAATCACCCGGTTTGTTCTTAAACTCGAACGTTTCGATCGTGAGTCGAGCTCGCCCTAACAGGTCTTCTTAAAAGATAGAATTATGGCTTCTAAACCATGGCGTCTCAGCTTGTCAAAAGTCCAGAATTTAATTATACAACAATGCAGCTTTTCGGACGAGTTATTTTGCCATAATGACTTAAGAAATTCTGCTCTTGTTCCACAGCAACCTCCAGCAGTCCTGGCCAAACACGTGTTAGCAGAAATCCCTAAACAAGTCCAGGAGCATTTCAACAAACGTGGCCTCGCTCCCGTGCAGTCAAACGGACCTGAACCACCCTACTTGGGGGGTCTTTAATGAAATATTTAGTTCTCGCTGGTGCAAACTTGGTTTAATGAACTCGCTTTAGTGCTATTTTAGTTTTATGAATTTTTATACACAGTTAAGGTGGATGTGACTTACCTTAAGAGTTTTTTATAAGCCCCCTCGGATTAAAGGGGGTGGGAGAAGGGGTTATTTTCCAGTCACAGATTAGAGAAGGAATGCGCGTCATTTTCTTGGTCGTGAAAGGTCTGGGTACGAGACGATAGTATGCGATGATCGTTACCCGGATGTAGCAGTGGGCTTTGTTCGATATTTGCGAAGTTCGTCACACGTAGTATGCATTGCATGTGAACATTGGTATTGGTGATGTTCGTTTTTTCAGTAGCTGGACTACAACATAAGTTTGTTAAGTTCTCGGTTAAGAGATTGTCGTGAACTAAACACTTATTTTACTTATTCAATCGCTCTGACGAAGGGTTAACGCTCGAAACATCAGCTTTTTACTCTTAACGGTGGCGAATTAACTTTTTAAACTCAGTTGTTGATGCTAAATTACTTAGTTTACGGAATTGCTGTGGATTGCAAATCATTTTATTTCAGTCATATTAGTCTTTGTTCGACAAGGAGCCGATAATGGCCACTCTGAGTTCGTTTCATCAAAGTTTTCACGAGAATTAATTTTCCTGGCTGGATTTGCCAGTGTTTTGATAAAATTATGAACCCAAGGTCTTACATTTAACTGGTTTCTATTTGCCTTATAATTACTCAGAATTGATTTACAGAAATGAAACAGCACCGAGTAATAAATTAAGTTATGAGCTGTAAATTTTTTTGTAAGATTGACACTCGCAAGTGAGACTTCACTCGCGTGAAAGTCATCGATGTGTCTGCTTTCTCGTTTGCGTGTTACTTGCGTGCGTGTCACTTAGGCTTGTACGCGAGAGCGAGGACTTATGCGCATGATAGTCATCTTGCTCTCTTGTGCGCTTGTTAATCACGTGTAACGTAGGCTTATACGCTAATTAGTCTCGAGATGATTACAATTTGGAGATTTGATATCTCTTATACGTGAAAATAAGTCTTTTTGAAATAAAAATGACTTGAGGACTGCTTTAGAAAGCTTGCACCTTTTTCTGTGATAAGTAGAGTAAATTACTCCTTTTTACCAAGGCAAACTTTTTTCCCAATACAACCAACATTATGAATCCTAGTAGCATATAAGATGCCTTGCATGTCTGAATCAGACAACAGCAAAATATGATTACAATTTCTAAGGTTCTATTGATAAAATTATTTAAAGGAAAATTATAGAGAGAGAGTAGACACTTATTCAGCTCTGCTATTGCTCAACGGAGTGCACAGTTTAAGGCTGATCATTGATACCCTTCCAAACATGCCTTTCCTTCCAATTCTCTTGTCAAAACAAAGCTCTAAAAGAATCTACATCAACTTGTTGGGGTTAAAATGCAGGAAGAATGCTGCGCCAAACGCATCAACAGCATTTAACCTTCTTGCTACGTAGATGTATAGCAACTGGAAGATGTTCAACCACATCGACTGACGAAGGCTAGTGATATGGCAAACTAAATGTCGCGATCTAAGCACGACTAATAATTGCATTGTGAGAAACGATTTCAAGCTTTATTATTGGGTTATCACGACAATGAACAAACATCTTTTATAAAACAAAATTTGAAAGATTGTTTGATAGAAGTAACAGGGTTAATCGGGCAAGTCGAGTCATGGCATGAGAATAAAGCTTTTCAAGAAATTTATCTTCAAGGTTCCATTTTATCTAAGTTCGAGTTATCATTTCTCTACAGAAGTTTTACAATTGATTTAAGAATGAGTCTTCAACTGAAATCCTCTTTCGTTTTCCAAGTGAACGAAAGTCTCCGAACAGCCATTCGATGCTTCTCGGCCCGCTTTACAAGTTCGGAAAACTCATTTGAATTACAGATGATTTTCAAAGATTAATATTCATATTTGCGAGCAGTCTTGCACGTGGAAAGAGCCAAGAATTACGAGAAATTTTAGCGTCTTCTGCAGCTTCTCTGAGGCCGTAAAACACATTATTTCGACGTTGTAACCTTAGCTTTGGTCCGCTCTGTCAAGTGTGGCGTGTGTGTCTTGACGTTGTTGACCTGGGTGGTTCAAATTTGACGTCGAGGACTCATGGATGTCATTTTGTCACGATTCTTGTTGAGGTAAATAACCTTCATAGAAATACATTTTTGATAGAAATATAGTGTCCGTGCCTCTCGCCATTGTAAAATCAGTCCAAATTGCATAGTTGGATGTGAAAAAGGATTAGCTTGCCATACTTTGTACACGGCAAGACAATTCCTTAATGGCAGCCGCCATGACAGTTCTTCTTAAGCCACGTGATCTTGCGGGCAACAGTGAGAAATTTGCACTTTTTTTCTGCCGTATGTCAAGAGATAATTTTCACTTGTACATATTGATATCTTATGTATTTATTTATCCCTTATCGTACTTTTTATCCATTCTTGTCCCATTTTGATATCTATACATGGAGAACGTCTTGTGTAAATAATAGAAGTGATATTATGAATGAAAGTGATCCTCGCAGTGATGTGCACTACTTAGGCAGTAGTGAAAATAAGGCCTGAAAAAAAAAAATTTCAGGCCTGTACGGGATTTCAGGCCTGTACGGTATGGGTTCAAATCCCGTACAGGCCTGAAATTTTTTTTTTTCAGGCCTTATTTTCACTACTGCCTAAGTAGTGCACATCACTGCGAGGATCACTTTCATTCATGTCTTTATCCGCAATTCAAATATATGACTTTCATATATTCTTAACCGCAGAAGTGATATTATTATTATTATTATTATTATTATTATTATTATAAAATAAGATGGCTCTAACTGGTAGTCCTTTTTTTTTTGTTAGGTTGATGCAAACATTTATCTTTGCTATTGACAATTATAAGTGTTTTCCTAAAGGTAGCTGTGTTCATATTCACAAGATATTTCCCTTTTCTTCCTTATCAAAAGTGTCAAGCATGGAATAAGAGAAGATTTGGAAATTCAAACAAAGAATAAAAGCAGGATAACTTCTAACAAGGTTGGTTTTATAAGTTTTTTTTTTATATAAAAAAGTTCTTTTAACTATCTAATTGTCTGTAAAAGCCTGCAGTGAACGCTTAAATTTGGATTAACAGTTGCCAATTTAAAACATTTGAGAGTCGAAAATAAAGAAAAAATACTAACAAAGAAATAACAGTACTGTGATGTCTGATTTCAGACAGTAATTTCCGATAATGTCTAATATCTGTAATGTCTGATTTTTAACAATACCATGTCTAATTTCTTGGATATTTTCTAACTGGAATAGTTTTCGATTTCAATAGTTTACAGCACTGTTCATCTGACGAATCAATACTGCCTTTCTTTTCCATGTGATGAAAAACTTTGGTATCAAAGAAACATCTATTTGATATCATGAAAATTATGACCATCGGTTCGTTGTATCATGTTACCATAGCAACAATATAGCCTATCGAATTCTCCTTGAATTTAAGATCAGTTGACCATAGCGCAGAAGGAACATAGAAATCATATTTTACATTTTATTGGACGATATTCGTCTATAAAAAGCGCAATTTTATAATGCAAAGCTTTTCAATCAGCTAGCCTCAAACGAAGAAGTTGTCCAATGTATCAGCTCGCGGGACTTAAACGAAATCCATTGTGTTCCTAGTATTTATGTCTCCATTACCCAAAATTCTCATAGATCTCTGACAAGCAAATCGATCTGTTATTTTCAAAGAGATCAGAACAAATTGGCGAAACCTACTTGCTAAATTTCTTTGTTCCTCAGGTTAAAAACGAAATAAGATATGCTCCAAAAATGTCTATCCCTGCACGCTAATTTTAAAAAAATTCTTCTTTATCACAAAATTGAGCCCAACTTGGGGGCCTCGATTGCTTGTTATAGTTAAACTCCTGATCGAGGCTAAAACAAAGCGAAATATTCACCAAAAATTTTATGTCTACCAATTTTTTTTTGTCGAAGACGCTGTTTCGATTTCTGATAGGTGTAATGACGGTGTTCCTTACTTGAGCCTAAGTGCCGCAGCTTTTGATGGTAAGAACAAAATAAAAATTATGCTGCAAAATAGTTTCCTTCTGTTTTTCAGAGTTTACCGTCAACTGAGAAAAAAATTCTCGTTTTTTTTTTTAATTAACGAATATTTGTGAAGCCTAGTTGTTGAATGTTTAGGCTTTTGAGGCTAAAACCAAGCTCAAAGAAGAATGCCCCTAAAGAGGAGATTTCTCACAAAGATTCCTCAAATTTCGAAATTATTTATTTATTATTTCTTATATAATAATTAAGGAACATAGAGGCTAGAAAATCTTCTGGCTAAAAATCAGAGCAAAATAAAATTCTTTAAAATATTAATGATTCCTTTTTGGTACGAAAATCGGTGAGTGAATTCAATTAAATTCAAAATACATGTTATAATATTGCTTTCTTGTGTGACACTAAATTTTTTTTCACCAAGAAAATGTCTTGAAAAACCTTACGGTAGTCTAGAGAAATAGTTTGGATATAAGCTATGAACGATAAAAGGCTAGATGTTGAATATGTTAGGATTTGAGAAACTGTAGTCTGAATCAATTCAAATTTCGGTAAGGCGATACTGTTCCTCATTGCCAAACAAAGGCCTAACAACGATGAAGTCCAGTTTTAAATGAAAACAATTCACAATAACTCAAAAATGTTCCAGAGTAACGAATTTATCAAAGCAATTGGTTACTTTACTTCATATCAAGCACTGTTGAAAAGAGCCTTAAATCACCAGAACTTTACTGATATTTTTTTAACAGACAGATGAACCGGAGTCGTTTTATGGAAAATAATTTTCTCAAGAATAGTTTGCAGCTTATCTTTTCCTGAATATAATGTCCCTCGTGATTCCATTTTTATTGGAATTCAAATATTTACTCATTTTCGAGCGCGAAGATGTAAATGTGCAATTTTTTTAACGAGCAAAAGCATACATGAACAAAGTAGGATTCAATTTTTAAAGTAGGATTCTTTGATCTGACCCTTTTGGACACTTTTTCGAAAAACAAAAAACTGAACTTGAGCAAAGTATTTAGTCTCCTTAAAGATTATTAAACTCGGCAGATGATAGGAAATGAAATCCAACCTTTCAGAAATTCAACTATTTTGGAGAAAATTATTTTAAATTATAATTATGTTGTCACTCAAAAAAAAGTGTCAATCACGGATTCTATTTTCATTGTAATTGAAATATTTACGGATTTTCACGCACGAGTATGAATATACTTGTTTTTATTCAGCGAAAAGAAATTTGCAAAAAACGTTACTGGAATTGCCTGATGTTTCTTAGGGTTTTCAGCCGAAAATGAGAACAATACTGCAGCATTTAACGTGACCTTTTCAAAGATTAATGTTGACTCGACAAACTATGCGAAATGAATTCCAAGCCTTCAGAAACTCTCTCTTTAATACAGCATGATTTTTAAATTACATTTTGTCTCAGGAATAGGCGGTAAAAAAAACGCATCGCGCAGGAATTCCATTTCATTGTAATTCAAATATTCACGCAAGATTTTCAAGTGGATGTGTACGCATGTTTTTTTTTTTTTTTTTTTAAGGCAAAGGGATCTGCAAAAAAAGCTTTAAGAATCCTGAACTTGATATTTCTTAGGCCTTTCAGCCGAAAATATAAGGAGGACTGCATTATAAATTTGGTCTTTTCAAAGATTAATATAGACTCGACATACTATAGGAAATGCATTCCAAGGTTTTTAAAGCTAATGTTTTGGTCATTTTCTTTCTGCAAGACCTGTGCGCAAAAAAACAATTTGATTCTTTGACCTTTTTTAGGCTTTTTCATCGACAATATGAACAAACGAGCGTAGTATTAAGTTTAAAAATAGGGAACGAAATCCAAACTTTCGAACCTCATAGATATAAGCTATTTTCTTGGAATTCTGTTATGGCATCAGAGGAATTGCAACGGCAACAACATCGAATTCCTCGATTTATTAGCAATTACATTTAGTTTACCGTTAAATCCAGGTTGCGTCCACGTATAGTCAATTAATG